AAAATGAAAAAATTCCCAAGTGCACGCCCTGAATAGATTTTTGAGGAAATAAATTTAGATGAAGGTGAAACAGAACATTTTAAATTAGTTAACGACCCTTTGCCCCGGGACGATAAGAAAATGCAGCATTTTGACAAACAGTTGAATTCGTCGGCTTACACTAAAAGCTGTAACGACTATTTAAATAAACATTAGATCTGTCGGTGAATTAAAGATTGAATCTGACGGTGATTTAAACATTGGGTCTGCAGCCAAAATGATGGAAGGACACGAGAAGTATGATTCCGTGGAGGTTGGTAGTACGGAAGTAGATAGTAATATAAATGTTGTAGACATGACAAAAACAACATCTGGAGGTAATTGATTTTTATCTAGAATTACGAATGTTACAGCTATAAGTGCAATTTATGAAGAGAAATATAATGATACGATCCCGTTGAGTATTGAGCGTAACATATGATAATTTTGATCCCGTTACTAACGCCTTCTTATTAAAACCTTTCACCAGAATGAATTTCTTGTTATTGGCGTCCGCGCCGAAGCGCGGCGCACTTATGGAATGAAATCAGATTTTGTGAAAGGGCGACAGCAACTTCTCGAGCCTTTTAGTCGGTCATGATAAAAGCCGATCATTCCGATCGGTATGAGGGTGCTTGATTATTAATTAAGAATGAAATGTCGTGATATGTTACAATGAATAGCGAACTGGAGAATTTAGCAATGCAAACATTTTCAAATGAAATAACCTTTTCCGTCAATAAATCGCGCTCTTCGGGGTTTTTTATTTATCATTTTGTAGTACACAGTGGGTTATCATGGTATGTTATTGTTGTACATGTATCCTAGAAAGATCAGTTGATGACCTAAATATTCCAAAAATCTATTTATAGATATATCTATTTATCACTCCTATCGGTAATTACCGGTCTCTCCCGGTCTATTTTGACCGGGATTTACTAGTGACCGGACAATAGTACCACACGTTTATTTCCGGTCTCTCCCGGTTTTGGAGTAGATGTTTGATATCGTTACAATTAGAAAAAAAACAACAACAATAGCATGTTTCATTTTATCTATATATAGATAAAAACAATAAATATGTACACGGATTTATATGTAATATAAATCCGTGATATGTACAATTATTGAGAAAAAGGTACATTTTTATGGTATTAAAATGACATTATCAACTTTGAAACATTTTATTTAATTTGTTATCCGTGTTTAGTAAAGATGCCGAGGAATTATTCAAAGTTACAAATTAGATTTTATGAATTATTCAATTGATTGATAATTTAAAAAATGATAAAGAAAAATACAAATGTACATGTGCATGGTTTAAAAATAAACAATATTATATATTAAAAGATAAACCATAATTTACTGACTTTTTCCAGTTAAGCTTTGACTTATAATCGTCGGTCAATATGACAATTGAATTCTTAAAATTTATTTTACAATTTTAATAAAAAAGAGCAGTAAAAACTCAGTATTAAAATAGCACTTAAAACACAAAAAAGAAAAGAAAACAATATTCATAAAATTTGTATTTTTTTATTAAAATTAAAAGATATTACAATTATTGTATAATAAACAATTATGCTCAACATGATCAACATGGTAATATAACCAGTGTCATATTTTTACTAACTTAAAGTGTGAACAGATACCTTAAGAGGGGGTCTTCGCTAATAGCGATAACATAATAAGGGACAATTACAAAGGTGTGGTACGTGTTGATCATGCGTTACACATATGGATTATAAATGATTGCATACATGTATATCCGTTGCTATTAATAACCACGCTCATAAAGAAATAACAAGTAATATTCTAATCTCTAGCATGCCAATCAAAGTTCATAATGAACAATGTCTTTCGTCCGCTCATTCATAAGTGATATACATTTCTGGTAGTTTATAAGAATATCTTGTCATCATATGTGTACTAGTTCATCTTCACTTGCTGCATTTCTTGCTTGGACGCCCTGTGATGCTTTGCATCAATGCTTTTCTTGTAGTTACTTGTAATTGCATGTCAACTGTTGAATCAAAATGATGAAATCTGACTGTCGATATATAAAATAATGCAATGATCTGGTTTATGTTCCTGAGTCTTTTTGTATTGGCTGTAGATTTATCATATTATTGACTTTACTAGAATAGATTTCTTTCTTTTTAATTAAAACAGTTTTTTAAACAATATGTGAGTGATGCCATAATTCGGCCCATTTGCTCATGTGAGTAAAGATGAAAAACGAGACGCGAATATTAAGCACACTTTTTATTAGATAGTATTCTTTGCAGCACCACTGAACGTGTGAAAAAAATCTTTTGTCTCATTGCATAATCATTTCTTACATTTTGAGTTCTTAAATACCCAGCAGGACCTAATTTTGTCATATGTGTTTACAGATATGGGATCAGAGAGGTTGACGGTATCTAAAAACCTAGCCCTTACCATAATAAATAGTTAAACTTGATTTCTCTAGAGAAAACCATTTTATAATTCTAATTGAACATTTCAACATGAAAAATGAACTGTGCAGAACATGATCCGACGACCACAAATATGGCGTCTAATAATGGTTTACACCGGTCGCCTGGGTAAATAATGTTGAAATAACCCTACTATGAATTATGAAGCCAAGCTGTCATCGTTGAAAATTTTTCATTAATTTTCGTGCGTTTTGTAGAAATGATTTCTTGTATTTTTCATCTTTATAGGAAATCAACATGATAAGTTTCAAGTAATCATTGAACCATCACAACTGACAAAGATGTGTGCTATGGAAGGGGAGATGACGCTATCGATAAAAGATAAGGCTCTCTATTTCAAAGATAAGAACACAGGTATCACAAAATACTGGTTTCCGTTTTCTTGGATAAGACGCTTCGGGAAAGACGATTCAGTATTCAGTTTTGAAGTTGGTCGAAAATGTCCGAATGGAGAAGGACATGTGATCTGTATAACTAAAAAAGCCAAACAAATTCATAAGAAGTGCATTAAAGGATTGAAAGAGAAAAAAGCAAGTATGAAATGAGAATATTATAAAATATGCAAATATCCCGTCGCGTGACAACACTAAGTTTGATTAAAAAAAATATATATATATATATTTCAACATGATGTCATTTGCGTTACACAAGCATAGTGTTAAGAAGCGTTAAATGTTAGCGTTATACTATAGACGCGTCAATGAAATTGTTCTTTTTCACTTCAAATGGTCTCTTTTTTTGGTATGTGATAGATACAATGTTAAATTCGCGTACGTTCATAATATATTGCACTCGTTGAATAAAATAACATTATGCTTTCTACAGAAGCACGTGAAATATAATTTTATTCAATTCGTTTAATAAATTCAGTATGAAACTTACACTCATTTAATATCCTCAATTTATATTTACTTTTTTTATTTTATTCATTTACTTGACACGAAACTCGCGATAGCACAAGTATACTGTTTGAACCCTTCGTATAATAGTGCGCATTTTCACTCGATGAATATTTCTCAGTCAGAGGTACTTCCTGGAAGAATGCTTTTCAGTAAGAAGTTCTCATTTGATATATATATATATATTACTAAGTTAGAAGTACCCTGCCGAATAAATAAGTTAATATACATAAATAAATATTACTTCGATATATATCACTCAGTAAGAATAGCCCACTCGATAAATATCACTTCATAATAATTACTACTCGATGAACATTTCTCAGTAAGAAAAACCCACTTGATGATTATTACTCACTGAGAAGTACTGAATTGAGGAATATTGACCAGTAAGAAGTACATCCCGATGAATATTACTAATTCACAAGTTCTCATTCGATAAATATCCCTCAGTAAGAAGTATTCATTCGATGAATATTTCTCAGTTAAGTATACTCAATCGCCGAATATTTTCACTGAGAAGTACTTACTGAGAAAAGCTCCATTGATGAATTACTAAAACACTCTGTTTGATTGAGTCTATACATGAGGGATCATGAAAAAGTGCAGAATCCCTCACGCCTCTAATACCGACTAGCAGTATACTTTTCAGTCCTTAAAAATGCTTGAAACAATTATCCTGAAGGACCAGAAAACTATAACAACACTGAAGTATAGTAAGCGGAAACATGTCACGGCTGCCACACAACACTTGACACCTGCTATTGTGATGCATAAATATCTGGAAAGAAGATGTATCTTTAAAAAGGATACTCGGTCGATGTAAAACTGGGTAACTTGCATATTTCAGTTCTTAGTTTTTCATGCATTATCTATAGTTATATAGAAATGTTAGCATAGCTTGCATAACAATAGCAGAATAATTTCTTGTAGGGTAATGAATCTTGAAAAATGGATCACTTTATAAGGTGTATGTGTTTCTAGACACAATTACCACGCGCTAAATTGGAAAATGTAGCTTATATTGCATTACATATTAACCAACATTTGTTTGTAAGTAATTATATTATTTTAATTATATTCGTACATTCGTATACGAACAATAATGTTATACTATAACGATACTTTTCATTCCAACTGTAGAAATGTTTTTTTTTTCTATACATAATGTCAATATATTTTTTCATCTTTACAAGCATAAATAGTCCACCATCATCATGTCATATCAATAAAATGTACTCTTTTACGGAAAGGGAAGTAAATAGATATGATTCATGTATTGTTATTTGTTTTGCAATTGTCTATTATGTGTTACACAAATAAGATGTTGGAACAAATTCATCTGTAAAGTTGAGATGATATAACATGTAAAGTTTAAAAATATTTTCAATTCTCAAGACATTTTGAAAAGAATAGTTAAGGAGGTGTTTGAAATTTTGTTAAATCGAACGTGATATTCAGATATAAAAAGGTATTTATCAATTCGTTTCATAAGTTTATTGACATTTACAATATAATTATACAAGATATTCAAGTTTAAATTTTGTAAATGATTGTATATTTTTTTGTGAGATGGGTGGGCCCCTGCTATTGAAAGGAAAAACTCTGTATAAGCAAATGCAATTATTACAACAATTTATCTATTAAGTATTTTCTTCAGAATCTCTTCATGTGTTTTCCCTGTGTCAGCAGGACATTAAAAAACTAAAAAACAACAAAAAACCCACATTATTTTCACATATACGAGGGTTTTTGCAGAAGTAAAGAGACTTTTGTGATAACTACTTTATTTTCTTTCACTCGTGTCAATTTCTCTGCTTAAATATAGTTGAATATGTAAACCATATTAAAGAACGCTCTACATCGAAATTCTTTTTTTTGGCTTGCAGCCACGGCTGCAAGCCATTTCATATGGAAAACTTGTTCCGGTTAGGTGGTTTCCTGCTTACATCTGTTGGTGCATGTATTGAACGGGAAACAGCTGAAAATCGTGCCCAATCGCCAACTTTTCGGCCCTTTTCCGTTCACTCTTCCCGGATTAATTTGATAATAGCCGATGTAGTTCCGATTGCAATCGTGACAATTCGGGCGGATTCCATCATACTACCGAATCAGACGAAGTAATATGACCGGAAATCTAAGCTATTTTTAGTTACTTCGGTAAATCCCAGTTGTTTATAATAAAGTAGGATTTCTTATTTTTAACTTGATTATCTGTTTTAAAACCGTAATAAATTAATAAACGAAAATTGTTCCGTTTTAATTGTTTTTCAAGACGCAAGAGTTAGTTTCTTTTATAAATTGTTTTTGTGCTGTATTAGTTTTATACATGTAGTACTTAGTAATTCCCCGTCTTCAAAGGGTGATCGAGTTATATTTAAATATACTGAACTTCTTGCGTGAGGTAATCTAAAAATAGCCATGTATATCATTAACCTTCCCACTACCACGGTTACTTCCCCCTGATCTGTACAGTTTAAAGTAGCAAAGCGTGACGTAACAGCTGTTGAGGAGTTTGGTACTGATATCGTCTATTCGTGATCGTGTAACACAGTTGATACATGCTTATTAATTGGTACCACGTAACAAGTATTTTAGTTGCATTTACTTGTCTATAAAGCAAAGGAATGATTTCGCTGCGAAAAAGGGAAATGAAATGTGCAACACTTGTTTTCCTTTTAGTATCACGTTAGTATTTTTACGATTGAATCATTTTCTTTATTAGTTTTTATACAATAGAGAATAGATTTTCAAATCGTTTTGACAAAAAAATATTCATTTCCAAAAAAAAACAACCCCCCAAACTAAATAAACCCTTTATGATATACAAATACCGTAATTAAAAAAAATGTGATGATAAATTGAAATAAAAAAAACCACACAATTTTAAAGGGTTGGGATGAAGGCACAACTGTGCAAGCCTTTCCTTTTAAAAGGAAACTTTATTCTTTACTTAAAAATTCGAAGCGTTTCCAAGGTTTCTAACGGCGCACGAAATATTATATGACGCCAAGAGTAAATTTGCCCACTAAAAACCTGACAAAGACCTTATAACGGCACGTTTTGTTCGTCAGTCTATAAGCGACAAACAGAGAGGCGGACGCCCTACGAATCTGCGATTAACACTCTTAAAGCAGATAAGAGAAAAGATTGCCTGGGACTGAAGGTTTACAGTAAAATGTTTAGCCTCAGCACTTGGTACATGTGTACATCTAAGGATGCAGTTGTTCGGATACTTGAAGATGTGAACATGAGCAAGGTAAGCGCTAGATAGGTACCACGACTTTCTTATCGACGACCAAATGACCCAGCGACTGATGTCATCGTCAAGATTTCTGGAGCGATAAGAGAAGAAAATGCGATGCGTTCCTAGACAGGATAGTCACCCAGGGTGAACTTTGTCTTTGAAATTATGACCCAGGAACAAATGTCGACTCGTCTATTCGGAAAGCTACAGGATCACCACCGCCGAAGATGGGTGTGACGATCAGGTGGCAGGTACACGTAAGTCTTCTGAAGTGTTTAATTAGATAGATATATTTCGAAATGGTTACAATAAGTACAGAAAACGAGAAAAAATGGGCCCACGCCACACAAAATGTGTTCGCACTGGCGGAGACTACGTAACTTAGAGAAGGCGTTGCACGCGAAATCATCTGTGGCGTAAGTTTTTGTGCTTCGTGTTTCAGTCAGTGATGTGTGTATTTAGTATGAAGATATTTTAATATTCCTTGTATTTCTACGCATAATATTAAAATATGGCACTTTAGCCATGTTTTTTATTTTCTTTTGAAATTATTTTCTTATTATTACTAAATGTACAAAAGTTATCTCGTTACTTCTGCGACAACCCTCAAACTTACAAAAAGGAACATGTTTTACTTGAATTTTCATTTTTTTCAAATATATTTTGATGAAACATGTGTCATATGTACAACTTTATTCATACCACGCCATTAAATCTAACCTGTTTGCTTTCCTTTCAAGCGATCAAATTTCTTATTTTCAAAGTGTATTATTCATTAACATTCTCAAAGTGCTGAATTATGACGTCTAACGATGAAACGAAAAAAATTAAAGAAGAAAGCCAGAGTTTCGTTATAAAGAAAGTCGGCGGCAAGTATTGGATCCTAAAAACAAATACTTCCTCAAAACGTCTTGCATTTCTTGATGATGCTAAGAATGTTAAAATTGACGATAAGATTCTAATAGCAGATGAAACGATTATTTGAAATACACACAAAAAATGAAAAAGGTGAATATTTATTTTCGACATCTTGAGGATGTTGCCTGCGAGACCTATTTTTCTGTGACTGAAAGCACATTAAAAACATTCTGGAAAAAAAAAGATCCTCCGGAAGCACCAATAAAGACGAACAAAGACAATAATGAAATGAATCTTTATGATTTTTCTTCTAAAAAATGGACAAGTCAAAGTCAGCATTGAAAAAACCAAGTGAACGTCGTGTAAATGAAGATTATTATGAGGAAATTGATTTAAATAAGGGTGCAACAGGACATTTTGAATTAGAAAACTATTCTTTGCCTCAGACCGATAATGAAATTCAGGCATTTGGACACACTTAACCAAATTCTTCTGCTGACACTTATAGCTGGCATGACGATAATTTAAACATTGGATCTTTTAGTGAATTAATTATTGGGTCAGATAGTGATTTAAACATTGGGCCTGTAGCCGAAATGATGGACGGACACGAGAAGTATGATTCCGTGGAGGTTGGTAGTACAGAAGTAGATAGTGATATAAATGTTATAGACATGACACAAACAACATGTGGAGGTAATTGATGTTTATCTAGAATAACGAATGTTACAGCTATAAGTGCACTTTATGAGGAGAAATATAATTATTTCTTACATTTTGAGTTCTTAGATACCCAGCTTGACCTAATTTTGTCATAGGTGTTTACAGATATGGGACCAGAGAGGTTGACGGTATCTAAAAACCTTAGCCCTTACCATACTAAATAGTTAAAATTGATTTCTCTAGACAAAACCATTTTATAATTCTAATTGAACATTTCAACATAAGTACTCAATAAATAACGAACTGTGGAGAACATGATCAGCAGACCCAAATATGGCGTCTTATCATGGTTTACACCGGTCGCCTTGGTAAATATTGTTGAAATAACCCTACTATGAAATGTGAAGCTAGGCTTTTTTGTTGAAAAGTTTTCATTGATTTTCATGCGTTTTGTAGAAATGATTTCTTGTATTTTTTCCATCTTTATAGGTAATCAAGATGATGAGTTTCAAGTTATCATTGAACCATCACAACTGACAAAGATGTGTGCTATGGAAGGGGAGATGACGCTATCGATAAAAGATACGGCTCTCTATTTCAAAGATAAGAACACGGGAATCACAAAATACTGGTTTCCGTTTTCTTGGATAAGACGTTTCGAGAGTTACAATTCAGTTTTCAGTTTTCAAGTTGGTCGAAAATGTCCTTTCGGAGCAGGAGATGTGATCTGTATAACTAAAAAAGCCAGACAAATTCATAAGAGGTGTATTAAAGTTATGAAAGATAAAAAAGCAAGTATGAAATGAAAATATTATAAAATATGTAAATGTCCCATTTTCACTCGATGAATATTTCTCAGTAAGAGGTGGTACCTGGAAGAATGATTTCAGTAAGAAGTTCTCATTCGATATATGTTACTAAGTTAGAAGTGCCGAATAAATAAGTTAATATACATAAATAAATATTACTTCGATATATATCACTCAGTAAGAATAACCCACTCGATAAACATCACTCCATAATAATTACTACTCGAGGAAAAACCCACTTGATGAATCTTACTCACTGAGAAGTACTGAATTGAGGAATATTGACCAGTAAGAAGAACATCCCCATGAATATTACTAATTCACAAGTACTCATTCGATAAATATCCCTAAGTAATAAGTATTCATTCAATGAATATTTCTCGGTTAAAAATACTCAATCGTCGAATATTTTCACTGAGAAGTACTTACTGAGAAAAACTTCATTGATGAATTACTAAAACACTCTGTTTGATTGAGTCTATACATGAGGGATCATGAAAAAGTGAAGAATCCCTCACGCCTCTAGCAACGGCTTGAGCAGTATACTTTTCAGAACTTAAAAGTGCTTGAAA